CGGTCACTAGCATAAATCACAATAAATTTTGCAAAGTAAATGTACAATTTCCACTTAGCAGTCGTTGTTTAAAAGTAACCTAGTTGTTCAGTAAGAAATTTTTTCGCAAAGATTTTTAAGTGACCATACGTAAGAACCACGCATACCTCAAGCTGAATCTCAAATACTTAAACTGTACTTGGACAGGGAAAAGTATAAGCATAGAGTATAAAAAGTATAAGAATCAGAAAGTAAAGTATAAGAACCTGTGGAAAGTAAGTAATAAGTATAAGTAGCAGAAAGTATAAAAAGTATAAGAATCATAATCTGCGGAAAGTAGGAACTGGAGAAAAGCAACCCCCCTAGGACGAGAAAAGTCTTAAAGAGAACAGTTAGCGTGCATCTGTGTCTCAGTAATATCGGGGGTTTTACTCTGAGTCCATTTAAAGTTACTGGCAAATGTCCATTCTCTTTTTTATAATCTAAATTTTATAGTTACTGTGTTTCAGAAGCTGATCCGATCTGCCCTGTGAGCATCAACAAATGATGTACAGGAGATCGAGATAACATGTACTGGAAGTCGACCGCTGGATTTTGTCTAACAAAGATGCTGGATAAGCGAGGCAAAAAATCCTCTGTCACTCATGTAGCATGCTGTAGAACTCACATCGATACCTTCCCCAGTAAAAAGTGATACGTGAAAAGGACGAGCCATGGAAGCCCAACCAAGAAAAAGATCATTATAAATAGGAATGTCAGCGTTGTGATAGACAAGGATTGGTAATAAAAACCTCAGTACCATGCATGCCAGCATAAAATACATAGGTCAAAGACTTCTTATGAAGTTGTAGAAATCTAGAGATGTTAAACAAACGTAAGGGAAAATGGACGGTTCAGATGAGGCGGGCGGACCGGATGAAAGTGGAAAAGTTTTTTTCGGCCTTTGATAGACCAAACGAAAAGTTCTGAAACAACGGCCAATCCAAGCAGTGGAAAACAAGAAGCGGCCGAAATCAACGAAAAAATTTTTTAATGAAATGGGGAAAAATTATTTAATGAAATATGATAGGAAAGATAATGGGGTCGTTAATTTACAGGCAGAAAAGCAAGCTGTGTCTTGAACACACCCTCGCAGTGTCCTGAGACGATTCAGTTCCACCAGAGAGCCGCACGCAACGAAAAAGACCACAGGAGAAGCCATAAGAAAACAGGGCAGCTTCTTTAGCTGCCAGTAGCCGAATGGTTCCACTTGCCAATACTTCTTCTGGATGTGCACGTAAAATACTGGCATCGGATTTAGCATACTTCGCTTTTGCCTGTAAAATTCAAAACTTTTCCGGACGTCAAGAACTAAGTTTGCTTGAAAATTCACGTGAAATAGCCTTGTATCACCGTCTAACTTCTTGAAGGAACATCAAAAATTCATGTGTGGCGTTTTTTAAACATTAAGTAACCGCTTTCTAGGAGATATAATCTCAAATTTTTTTTTAATTTTAACTTAATACACTCCCAATTTTCAGGTAAATTCTTCAGTGCAAAGCGGTGATATGACAGCATCCGAGTTATAAAATTCAGCGCGTCATATGAACAACATTTTTATGAACTAGTTTAAAAAACAAAATCCGCTCAACCGTTTTTATTTTTTTTTTTTCTTGAAAGTAATCCGAATAGTAATATAGGTCAACAGCAACCACTCGCTGGCAAAGTTGTCAACTGTTCCTCTGTTTTGAGGGTTGCTTAGAAGCAAGCTGATGGCCGATTTGACTTTCTGGCAAGCGCTAACACCAATTTACTATTGAAACGATCAAACAGTGGAAGGGATTACTACTCACGGAATTGCATTACTAGTCCGCAAGTATGAATTAAAATTTTTTAATAGGGTCTCCCACTCCTATTCTTAAAAAGTATTTAGCAAAATCCCTCTTTGCAGAAAAGCAACCGATTAATGCAGATGGGCTACTTTTATGCTTAAAAGTGGTCATTCAACCTCTCAGCAAAAAACTCGACAGTCCTCAAATAATCCACTAATTCAC